TGCGAGTTAAAAATCCCGTGTATTTACAAAACTTGTTCAGCTAAGGTTCCTTAGCGGGAGTTGCCTAAATCAACATTAGATACAGCAAAATGTTGGCTCCCTCAAAATGTGACTTAAAATTATGACAATAAATAGTGGAAAATAAAGGACTTGGACTTTGCTATAGTTCTCCGGGGCTATGAGTGGTAAAGACCTTTTTTTTTTAACCCATCAATTTCATAGCCACCATAAATTCTCAGAAAAGGAACATTTCAGATGAGAAAATGAGAGGGAAAAATGGTCTCTAGTACTGGTGTGTTTGCCCCCCCTCCCCCCTTTAAGGAATCTGGGGGAGGCTATCTGGGAGGAGAATTTGAATGGGTTTACTTAGAAAATTCACAAAAACTACCGTTTATGGAGTTCCATGACAGTTAAGCCATTGTCCTCCATACAGAGCAAAATCCTAACATCTTGTTCCAGAGTTGATAATGCTGAAATCAATGGTACCATTCAAAGATTGCCACTCTAGACTCGCTGCGTTGCCTCTTTTAATGGATCAAGATTAAGAGGAAAAAGGGATCCTGTTTAAACCAATTTATTTCATTAACAAAGCTTATTTTGGATAGACCATTTTTCCCCTCAAGGATTCAAACTCCGTCTAGACACATTTTGTAACTTGTATCTTTTTCTGCTTTAGAAATTAACTCGGGTTGGGCTACTTAAAAGGTAGAAAATACTCTTTGGGGGTAATTATTTTGGTTATTTTTCCTATTGTTTTTATTTTACACATCACACGTTCTCCAGCTCCTTTGGTGAACATCTTGTTAAATGCAGCTGTACGAAGGAAACTTTTCTGTAGATATAAATAGAACTGTTTTGCAAAGATAACAGTGCTGTGGTAAGGAAGGGTGTAGTTCTGCTTTCTGTTGTGCACCTTTGATGTATGTGAATGGAATTACAACTACTAGTAGTAAGCCATGAGCAAGGTTGGAAAAACTTTACCCCAAATTAACTACAACCACCTATAAGGGCAGCTTTGGGGTTTTTATTGATCTGTAACAAGAAAGGGTTTTCTGGGAGGAAAGGACCAAGCTCTGCAAGAAAGCAAGCAACTTACTACGCTGGTTAGAGACACCACTACATCCTCTTCCTGCTTACCTTATTAGGAGCAACAAACATTGCCTGATTCAGAGTAAAACCAGCTTGTCCTTGACTGTATTCAATGGCTTCTTTCTTTAGGAACTGTCAAGAGAGAGAGCAGATTGAACAGAGAGAGCTTGTTTTAAATTCACGTATCAACCTGGTTTCCTTCTCTATCCCCTTCCTTGCCTGGATCTTACTCTGGGTCTTGCCTGCCATTGAAGTGGCATCGAGGTCATTCCAGTGGCTTTGGTGAGGTCTGCTCATGTTGGCTGATTTGGGGGGGTCTTGCACCCCCACTTATTTCTGCTAAAGAATGGAGGCCAAAAAAGAATATTTTTCGCTCGGGGTTGAACTGTGGGGTCTTCGGTGCTCTCTGAGCTTGGTGGTTTCCTTGTGGACGTTTCATGACCCAACTAGGGAACACCATCAGTGCCAGAAGGAAGTGGGGTTTGCACAATGGAAGAGGAGGACTGTGTGATCTTTGGTGCTCTTGGAGCTTGGTGGTTTTCTTGCAGACGTTTCATGACCCAACTAGGGAACACCACCAGTGCTGAAAAGGAGTGGGGTTTGGGAGGAGGATGGAGTCTGTGGGGTCCTTGGTGCTCTCTGAGCTTGGTGGTTTCCTTGCAGACGTTTCATGACCCAGCTAGGGAACATCATCAGCCCTAGCTTGTCATGGTCTGTTCTAGCTGCTCTTGGAGGTTTTCCAATAGGGTGTGTTGACCTTTGTTTAATCCGAGGTATCCATCCCTATGAGCTACATTTATCATTTTTTGGCTCACTTTCTTGGGCTGTTTTCTATCCAGCTACCCTGGAGGTTTATAGCTGACCCAGACAGGCGAGGAGGGACCCCGTCAGAGGCCTTTTGTGCAGGAAGAAACAGTGGCTCCTCGGTTGAGGTTTGCAGATAGAGGCAGATTTCTCCCACTTGCTTGCAACTCTCAGGAGTATTTGACGCCCACAAAGGTTCCAAGCGAAGAGAACGAGATCTGCAGGTTGAACGGTGGCCCTTCTGAGCTGGGTGGTTTCATGTCCCAGCTAGGCAGCATCGTCAGGGTTAGAAGAGAGTCTAATCCAGGGCAGGCAAATACGTCCCCTCGATGACCGGCGGGCTTCAATCCCCAGAATCCTTGAGCCAGATGAAAAAACCAGAGGAAGGCTTCGTGTCGATGACAAAAGGCTCCCCTCCCTTATGTTTGGAGAGGAGGAGGAGGAGGAGGAGGCTGACAAAGAAGACCTGGCACCATTGTGGGCTGCTGCTCCCCTCCCTCCTCCTCGCCGGCTTCTCCTCCCTCACAATAACCAGGTTTGGAAAAGTTGCCCCCAAGTCCTCTTCCTCCTTCATTCCACTGGATTGGGAAGAAGGAAAACCCTTTTTTAAAAAGACGTTGGGAGTGTAGCAGGCGGCCGGCTGGCCATGGAGACACTCCAGGGACGTCCTTCTGTGGACGAATGATTTTACCCTCCAGTAAATGTAAGAGTTTCCTATTTCTCCAGAGCTCAGAGAACGCTTCTCGCAAACTGGTTTCTTTTCCTACCAAACTGGTTTCTTTCCTGGCCACATGAAAGTATGTTAATAATCTACAGCCATTACTTGATCCTAATCTGGAGTGGCCCTCAAACAGACTTGATGAAGGGCTGGTCAAACACAGGAAACACGGCAGTTGTTTATTTGAAAAAGCCTTTCATATTTGGGCTTTTTTCCCTACCCGTCAGACGGCCTCCTGTTCCTCTCCCCACGGGCTCCATCAGTCTGATCCAAAGCCCTTCAGTCCCCCATAAGGGGGCTGAATAATATCCTCCACGCCAGGAAAAGGAGCCCTGGAGGAGCCTACGAGGAGCTTCTCGGCAACTAGGAGTTCGGCAGGAGGAGGATCTGGGCCCTCAAGAGCTCAAGGAGTTTCTATTTGCCCAAAACTGGAAGAGGGGGAAGATAACTGAAGAAAAACTATTTGAATGTGCAGAAATGAATAGGATTGACCCTGGAAATGAAAGAAAGAGAAGAGTATCTGAGTATTCTGTGGCATGGGATTGGTTTTGTCAATGGACAGAAAAGAGAACAAATCAAAGGGCATTGGATGGATTCACAGAGCAATGAAAGAAACGACTACAATAGATATATTGGCTCTCATTTATACTGTATACGTGGGGATGTGATTGTTGTCGCATTGTTAAGTTTGATAAGAGGAATATTATTAATAATGGTTAAGTAATTGAAATATGTACCTAATCAACACACGATTGGAATGGAATGGAATTTGTTGTGTATAAAAAATAACTTTTTACAAAAAAAAGAAAAAAAAGATCTCAAGGAGTTTCCAGGTTCTGGAACTTTTCAAAACGTGACACTTTTTTGTTTCTTTTGGTCGCTAAAATGGGAGCCAAGTCAGAAATTGTTCCTCTGATGGGGCTGTGCAGACGATGTTGAGTGAGTTTTGCCCCGTTGGACGACTTTTCTCTCCGCATTTTTGTTAAGCAAATCGCCTCAGTTAAATTAGTCACATAGTCGTTAAGTGAATCTGGCTTTCCCAACAACGTTGCATGACAGGAGGTCACAAAATAGGATGATCCCAGGACACTGACACCGTCATAAGTATGAAACAGGTGACCAAGGAGATGCTGCACCAGGTGGGAGGGTGGAAAATGGTCCCGAGGCCCTTTTTGTCCAGTGCCATTGTAACTTTGGTCACTAAGTGAACCGTTACAGATTGAGGACCAGCTATATATGCACTGCAGAAAGCAGCAGAAATATCCCCCAAAATAGACTTACACCCTGTATCACCTCCCAAAATCCAGGTGAGACTGCTAAAGAGGGTTAGGAGATACGGGAAACTAGCCATTGGTTGTGTGGGAATGAAATATTTTGGGGGGTATTAAAAGGCAGGATAGAATATTTCCTCTAAAGGAGAAATGGGGGGGGGGGGCTTAAGGGAGGCAGAGCCCACCCCCAGTTTCCATGCTCCAAGCAGAGACTGAGGAGGCCGGCTGTCCAGAGAGGCTGGGCCAGACAGAAACTCCAGATAAGCAACCAACAAAAAAGCTGGACAAGATTAACCCAGGCAAACAGCTGGGGTTTGCTTCTTCCCCCTTTGCCTATAGAGCCAGCCCTGACCCCTACCTGACCCCATTGGAATCCAGAGGGTGTAACCCCCCCCCCCCAGGCTGCCCCGGGACCCCCAACCCTGCTGGTTCTGCTTCACCAGGAAAGGGACCTTCTTCCCTTGTTCCTCCAGCTTGGACCTTGAGCTGATCTGGGGTTTCCCTTCCAAGGGGGGTTCAGCTCTGCTTCGCGCTTTGTTCAGGATTTTTGCTGCCAGGACCCTGATGGTCTCTGGGTGGCCCATCAAGGCTTGTGGCCAGTTGCGGTTTCTTCTGGTTTCTTCTGGCCGAGCCCTTAAGGAGCCCCCGGGGGGCCTTCACACGCTGGGATGGACGGAGCTCCTCACCGGACCTTCGGAGAAGCCCCTCCAGGCCAGGAGGAGCTGCTCCTGCTCCTGGGTGTAGCTACTCCCGGCATCTCTGCAGCTGTCCGACCCACGCAGCCCCGCAAGCCAACCGCAACCTGCTCAGGATCCCCGCGGGGAGGGGAGGGGGGGGGCGACCAAGCGCCCGCCGCGGTCTCCCTCCTTTCCCTCCCCGCGCAGGTAGACGGCGGCCGGAGCGGGAGGCTCCCCCTTTGCGGCCTCGGTTGGGGAGCGAGAAGCGGGCGGCCGCCGGGGCGAGGCGGGGGCGGCGTCCCCAGGTCGGGCAGCCCAGGTGGCGCCGGGCTCCCTGCGCCGGGATTGGCGACGCGGGGCGGATGGGCGGGCCGGGCAAGGAGGCAGGAGCGGCGGCGCGGCGGGGCGCTTTGCGACAGCGGCCCAGAGCGAGCGAGCGGGCGGCCGGGCGGGCGGGCGGAGGGCAGGCGCTTGCGGCAGCCGAGTCGCGCTCCCTGGGCCGCCGCCGCCGCCGCCGCCGCCTCGCGCCAGCAGCTCGGCCGGCAGCGGCAGGAGGTGGGGAAGGGCGCCGGGGGGAGGGAGGGGGGGGCTCTCCGGGGTTCCTCCTGGGGAGGTTGCGGGGGCGGCTTTCCCGGGCAGGTTCGGCTTTCGGGGGGGGGGTGGCCGCCTCTCGCTTTGGCTGGGGCCTGGGCGCTGCTCTCCCCGGCGGCTGGGCGAAGGCGCGGGGCGGGGGCGGGGGGGCTCCACCGCGGGGGGTTTCGGGGGGGGGGCTGGAAGTGGGGGCTGGACTAGAAGACCTCCGAGGCCCCCTCCAACTCGGAAGGGTCCTGGCCAGCGGACGGTCCCCAGGCAGGCGGGAGTTGGCGGGGCTTCGCGTGCTTGACAAAAAAGACCCCGCACCGGCCCCGGACGGGCAAGCGCCGGAGGAAGCCGCCCAGGCCACCCCGGGCGAGCCGGGTAGCAGGAGGCGGCGGCGGCAAGCGGGGCGCCCTTCCCCATCCCGGGCAGGCCCCCGGAGGAGGCGCTCCGTGCCGGTCGGGGCAAGTGCAGAAGCGCCGCTGCTTCGGCTCGGGAGGCTTCCCGGACCCGGACCCCGGCCGGCTTCTTCCCCTGCAACCCGCAGCCCCCCCCCCGCCCCCGCGCGCCCCGGACCGGCCGCTCCCTGCTCCGATGCTGGGCCGCCGCAGGGCCGGCCGCCTTCCCGGGGATTCCGCCGCGTCCACCGCTCCTCGCTCGCCCCTCCTGACCCGCCTTTCGGCCCCGGAGGAAGGCGAGGCGGAGAGTCCCAGCCGGAGCCCGCTTGGCGTTGGGGGAGCCGGCCAGGCAGTGCAGCGTCTAGAAGGAGGGAGGGAGGGAGGGGACGAGTCCCAAGCCCCGGCGAGGCTCGTGGGGGAGGGCTCCAGTGGACGGCTTTGTTCGCGGGCAGGGGATCCCGCGAGAGAGCCTGCCCGGCTTCCTTCTTTTCTTTTCTTTTCTTTTCTTTTCTTTTCTTTTCTTTTCTTTCTTTCTTTCTCTCTCTCTCTTTTTCTTTCTCTCTTTTTCTTTCTCTTTCTCTTTCTCTTTCATTCTTTCTGTCTTTTTCTTTCTCTTTCTTTTCTTTCTCTTTTCTTTCTTTCTCTTTTCTTTCTTTCTTTTCTGTTTTGTTTCTTTCTTTCTCTCTTTTCTTTCTCTTTCTTTCTCTCTCTCTTTCTTTTTCTTTCTTTATTCCTTCCCTTTCTCCTGTTTTCCTTCCTTTCTTCTAGTCATCCCCTTCCTTCCTTCCTTCCTTCCTTCCTTCCTTCCTTCCTTCCTTCCTTCCTTCCTTCCTTCCTTCCTTCCTTCCCTTCCTTCCCTTTCTCCTCCTGTTTTCCTTCCTTCCTTCTACTCATCCCCTCCCTCCCTCCCTTCCCCCCTCCCTTCCTCTTTTCTTATAACCTTGAATAATATTATTTCGGGGTGGGGGGGGTGGGGGAGAAATCCAGGCCATGGTCCCAGATCCGCAATCTCTCCTGGCTCTGCAACGCCCATCCTCTTCCTCTCGTGCCTGGGAGGGTCAGGGGGGGACCTTTGCGGGGAGGATGGGACATTAATGGTCTCGGGGGGGGGAACCTCCCCGAGCCTTGACCAAACGGGCCGCCCGAATGGCCTGGGGAGTCCTGGGCCCCTTCTGAGGGCCGCTCTTTCCTTTCTCTCCGCAGCTGCCGATCATGAGGAGCCGAGCCGAGGCGTGGAGGGGAGGCCCCGGTCACTGGCGCCCGTGAACCGCAGCAGCTGCAGCCGGCGCTCCAGGCGGGATGCCCTTCTCCTAGGGGCCGACTGCCCCCCCCGCGGCCCTCGCCCCACCCGATGCGCCGCCTGCCCCCGGGGCCCTTCAGGAACCCTCTTGGGAAGGAGGCCGGACTCTCTTTGGAGACGCTTCCGATCGGGGCTGCCGGAGAAGCCCAAGAAGCAGCCGCCGCCGCCTGGGCAGGGACACCATGGAGGACTTCACCACCAGGACCTACGGGACCAGAGGCTTGGATAACCGGCCTCTTTTCGGAGAGACGTCGCCGAGGGTAACGGGGAAGGAGCTGCTCTCGCTCTCTGGGCAACCATAAAATATTTTTTGGGGGGGGGGGGGGGGGGGGGAAACATGGCTTCCAGCTCCCAGAACCCCCCAGCCAGGAAGCCTGGGAGTTGGACGCTTCCTGACAGTCGGAGCAATGAATCGGCAGAGCGGAAGTTGCCTCCAGCAGTTGTGGATGCTCCCAACAGTGCAGGTTTCTAAGAAGAGGTTGGGGAACCATCGGTCTGAAGTTGGTGCAGGGTTTCCTGGCGAGGCAGGGGGCTGGACTAGAAGACCTCCAAGGCCCCTTCCAACTCTGTGATTCTAACTCCGCCCGTCTTAAAGATGGGTCTGTGGCCCTCCAGGGAAGGACTTGGGTCTCCAACCTTGGCCACTTGAAGCCTGGAGGACTTCAACTCCCAGAATTCCCCAGCCAGCTTTGCAGAGGGCTGCGGTCATCCTGGGGTGGGGGCGGGGCTTTGTGCCCCTTTTCCAAAATGGCAGCTTCTGCTCCGCTTTGTGACAATGGAGGTTGCGTTTAGGATGAGCCTTGACAGAGTTTTCCAAGCACGCCGGGCCTCAGGCACGTGGGCGGGAGAGCCTTTCTTGGGAGTGTGATGGAGCAATGCTGCGATTGTGTAACACACACACACAACGGCAGGCCTTTAGCCTTGAAAGCCCTGGCTGACTCCGTTTGGGGTCCCCTCCTATAAAGAGCTCCTTTGCATTGCACAGTCTGGGCACGTCTCAGTGGGGAGAGATCGAAGGGTGGCATTTCCTTGGGCTTCACGGGGTTATTTCAACAAACTTTCCAAGATGATGAAGATATTATTATTATTATTATTATTATTATTATTATTATTATTATTATTATTAT